TTTGGGCACAACCGCTTTATTCTTTAAGTACCTTTCTGTCAGAATCTGTGAACGTGGTTGTTTTTTTTTTTTTCTTTTGGCTTTCTTGTTTGCTATGCTCCTTTGCTATGTTGAGATAAAACCAGTCAGAAAAGAAATAGTTTTTTTTTTTACCTTATTAAAATATTAATTTATTCCAAAGTTAGCTTTATTTACTTTTCACTGACCTCAAAGAGAAAACTTAGACACCTCAGAAACATGAAACGTTCTCAGAGGAAGGAATAATGAGCAGGTTTCTGTATTGATGTGCTCACTCCTGTCTAACAGCAGAAGGTATGGAAATCCGGCAGCCCAGGCCAGGCGCAGGGGCTCACGTCTGTAATCCCAGCACTTTGGGAGGCAGAGGCGGGTGGATCCCTGCAGTTCAAGACCAGCCTGGGCAACACAGTGAAACCCCGTGTCTTTACAAAACAAAATACACAAATTAGCTAGGCATGGTGGCGTGCGCCTGTAGTCCCAGCTACTCGGGCGGCTGAGGCAGGGAGATTGCTTGAGTCTGGGAGGCAGAGGTTGCAGACAGCCAAGATCACACTACCGCACTCCAGCCTGGGTGACAGTGTGAGACCTTGTGTCAGGGAAAACACTACCACCACCACAAACTGCAGCTTGTTCTTCATAAAGATATCTGGGAAATGATAGAACTGAGAATAACACATCTAGATTCAATTCCCTGCCATAAGAAGTTCTTTTGGCTTGTTTACGGATATTGTTGTAAATTCAGTGCTGCTGTCTTGAGTAACTTGCAGAGGCTAATGTGACCAAAGAAAGATCCATCCCTTGTCTTTCTAGTTAAAAGTTAGTCATAGCACAGGTTTCTAGTGCGTTCCATTGATAAGACAGTGTCCATAATGCCAATCACAAAAATTCAGAGTGTATAATGAGTTAGCACAGCATTAAGTGGGGTGATTCCCTCCTCCCATCTCCTTTCCCTCCCTTTTTTCCTATTTCACATTTATTCTTTTGCCTAAAAGACAGAAAATTGGTGTGATTCTCATATGCTGCATAGAACATGTAGCTCCATCATCTCCCACAGCTCTCTAGAGGTCTTTGGGGTTGGAGCACAAAGTTTAACTTCTGATTCTGTTTCTCCTTTAATTCTATTGTTTCCTGGCCCTTTTGCATCCTGCCAGTTCCGCTTAACTTACCCACTGTGGTCCATCCGCTCCCGCCATGTTGGTTGTCTCAAAACAGCTTTCAGCGGAATTAATTGAGTGGGTGAATTCCGTGGAGTTGCCTTTTCTGGCAGTTCTGTTACTCAGTGATGCACAAACGTCGCATTTGCCCTCTGGTAGATAAAGATTTGGGTGTGTGCATATATATATATATATAATTTTTTTTTTTTTTTTTTTTTTGAGACAGTCTTGCTCTGTTGCCCAGGCTGGAGTGCAGTAGTGGGTTCAAGCGATTCCCCTTGCTGCAGCCTCCCGAGTAGCTGAGATTACAGGCGCCTGCCACCACGCCTGGCTAATTTTTGTATTTTTAGAGATGGGGTTTTACCATGTTGGCCAGGCTGGTTTTGAACTCAGGACCTCAGGTAATCCACCCGCCTCAGCCTCCCAGAGTGCTGGGATTACAGGCATGAACCACGTGCCCGGAAGATCTGGTTAATATTATTTAAAGGAGCCAAAGACAGTGCTTTACTGTTTGCTTTGAGGGGAAGTAGCAGCCAATCTGATTGTGACACCTTTTAGCATTGGTGAGTTGATTTATCTAAAGTGAACTGTTAAAGTTAGCTGCCCTTATACAATGTAAAAGTAATGAAAATTCATCCGTTTCTCAAAAAAAAAAGCACACACAGTGGTTGAAGTTTTTGTTGGCAATAAGAAAACAGTAGGCATATATATATGTGTGTACACACACACACACACACACACACACACACACACACACACTTTTTTCCGCCCTGGGAATCCACGTTCTCCTCCTGGGTAAAGGAGAGGGTTGTGTTATGTGATTCCTTTTTCCTGCCCCAAGTGGCTGGCGACGCAGCCCCAGCGCGCCGGGCACTGAGGCCCTGGAACGCGGCGTGAGAGGCCTGGTGCGCAGACACAGCCCAGGACCGGGCCGATCTCCCGCCAGAAGGGACAATGCTCCGGCCGGGTCGCGGGCCTGAGGCGCAGCCCTGCAGGCCTCCATCCGGGCTCGCCTGAAGTCTGCGGGAATCTTGCGGGCGTCCTCCCGAGCAGGCAAAGGAGGAGCCCAGCGCCGAGGCCCGGGCGCGCCCCACCCCCTCGCCGTGTCCCTCCCCCGCTTCTCCCCTCTCGAAGGCCGAGACCTGGACGCTGCCCGGTGGCCTCGGCCCGGCCCCTGTCCTTGGCGGCTGCCTCTGAATCGCAGGTGAGAAAAACCTGACACGGTCCGGCTTCCGGTTCTTGGAGAGGGCGGGACGTCTCCGCAGAGAGAACTGTGCGGAATCTGGAAGGCTGGTGCGCCTTCGCTTTCTCGGGACTACGTGAAATGAAATAAAGCCGGCTGCCTGCTTGAGTATTTTTGTCATAGTATTTTTATTTTGGGATCAGGGTATTGTGCTCCGGAACCTGAGTCCCAATGAAGGAGGCTTGTAAGCCCTGAAAGCTATTTTTATTTTTTTTTAAAGAATTGCTGAGTTTCCGGAATTGTACTTTCAAAACTTTCCCTAAACTTAGCGTGGCATGGGGTGGCAGAAACTGGTGTCTACACATTACAGAAGGGCACTGTTGACACCTGTTTGTGATGCACATGGTGTTTTCCCCATGGACCACCTATTAAGCTTCCTGCTGGAGGGCCCTTCCTGCTTTCCGGCCCACATCCTGTTGTAAATCGGTGCTACTTGTGGGGTTTTGTTTGGGGATTGAGGATATTTAAGGAAAAATGTATTGAAACAAGAAGACTTTGTTTACTTCTTTGGGTTTTACTTTTTAAATAAATTAGGTTAGGAAGAAGTATTATTTTGCTAGTGGAGTTCAAATGCACATACCCAGACTGTAGTTTCTCCAAATGCCTTTCTCACCAGGGAGGGGGGAGCTCCCAGGTAAACTGGGATAGAGCTGACTTCGTCACCTCATAGGTGGGGAAGGCCAAGATGGATAGTCTGGCCAGGTGTTCACAGGAGAGCCAGCTTCTGCTGGGGGTGAGGGAGGAGAGCCAGAGGCAGGTTCCAGTATACTCTGGACTTGCTGCAAGAAAGGCATTCTGCCGATTGCTGCGCACTGTGGTGAGCTGAGTGAGGCTTCCCTTCCCTCATGCTTTCCTTCGTTTTTCCTTCTGTCCACTTGGTTTTCTTGTTCCTGAGCCGCCTTGTGCACACTTTCCATCTGTCTCCCTGAGTGCCCAGCCTGAAACTGCACCCAAGAGTTAAAATCTTATAAAATCTCACCGTCTTGCAGAAGGAAATTGCTGCTGGTTTAAAGATCCCAGCTAAAGAGGCAGTGGCATTTAGAAAGCGCCTCTTGTAGGGAGGCCTCACCTGAGCCCTCCTTTTACTGAGAGCTTGCCCCAGATCACACTGCTTGTTAAAGGTGGTCTCAACCCCATCTGTCTTCTAAGCTTCCCATTGCCCCATGCCTGAGAGCAGGAACCTCTCTTTGGAACTTGAAGACACAAGCAAGATGGAAGACTGTCAAGTTCATCCTGCCAGATTCCATTAATGTAGTCCTAATGGGTCACACCAGCCTAAACAAGCTGTGTTGTATTCCTTTGAAGAAAACTAAGTCAGCCTCAGAAACTGGCAGACTATAATCTTCAGAGGTGTTATTGAAAAGCACACCTGCCTCAAAGCCCCTGTTCACCCACGGGAGTATCGCAGAAGTCTCTGTATTAGGGGCAGGTTTACAGCACTCTGGGTTCCTTTTGCTCTTGGCCACGGCTGACGCCAAAGGCTAGATGTCCTTGCTTCCAGGTAGTGTGTCACTGTTCACAGAAGTGGAAGCAAGTAATGAGACAACGCCCCCTCCTGCCACTTTCCTGGGTATCTGGGGATAGACAGGTGCTGGCGTGTCACTAGTCATTCTTGAGCGAACTGAAGACAATCCACATGGAAGGCTGGCTTTATCATAACTCACTTTACCCTCTCTTGATAGTAAATGTCTAATCGTTTCCTCCCACCCCTGTGGGAAAACATGCCCAGGCTTTCTGAGTTCCAGCTCCTGGTAAGCAGTTCTGAGTGTAGGATTGACATGGTGGGAGGAGGCAGAGATTTGGGGACCACACCGCCAAGGACCCTGGGGCCTAGACGTCCAGAGTGCCCACCTCCCTTCCTCTTCCCCACGCTCACGCCAGGACCTCGCTGCTGGCTCTGCTCGGTCCACTCCCAGCCGAGGCCGTCAGGGACTTGGAGTTTGAGAAACACAGTTTGGAAGAGAAAACCTGGGCCTTTTCTCTGTCCTCCCCCGCCCCACACCTCTTAAAAGTTTAACCTAGGGGCTTCCTATCCCCAACGACGAGAAGGGCTTAGCAGTCTTAAGAGCGAAATTCTGGGGGAGTGCAGCCCTTTGGGGTTGGCACGCACCCTTCGCAAGGGCAGTGCCCCAGCTTTCACCCTTGGGGTCAGGGAAATAAGGTGTCCACGAAGGATGCTACCAAGTCTTCGTCGGTGCACACCCGAAGGGCGCGCCCGGAGTGCTGGTGGGGAAGGCAGGCGCATGCGCGCAGAGCGGGGCCGGGCTTTCCAGCCCGGGGCGCCTCTCTAGCCCTACGCCGTCTCGGTGGCCTGCCTCGTCCTCCGCCCGCCGCGCGGGGGCGCCTCTCTAGCCCTACGCCGTCTCGGTGGCCTGCCTCGTCCTCCGCCCGCCGCGCGGGGGCGCCGCTCTAGCCCCACGCCGTCTCGGTGGCCGGCCGCCCATTCCGCGGCGTTCGGGGAAATGGCTGCGGGACCCTAGAGGCCTGCGGTAAGTGGCGTCCCGTGCGCCGGGTAGAGGAGCCGGCCGCCCCTTGGGCCGCCTTCGGGAGCGGGGCGGGGCCGGCGTCGGAGCGCGGCCGGCGAGAGCCGCGGATTCCGCACAGGCCGCTCCCGCCGAGAAGATGGCGGCCGCGGAAGCGAGCGGGCGGGCGGGAGGGGCCGGGTCAGAGCCGGCGCGGGCCTCAGAAGTCGGCCCCGGCGGGCACTCAGTGGTCGCGGCTGGGACGGTTTCGAGGGTAGGAGTCGAGGCGGCCGCCCGCGGGAAGGAGCGGAGAGGTAGCCTGGGCGAGTGCGGCCGGGGGCGGGGGGCTGCGGAGCGTTGAAGCGCCGCTGGTTTCTCTGGGCATCCTTGGGGGTCTCGGCACTCCCTCCCGGGCCCTGGGTGCGGTCGGGGTGGCCGGCTCGGCCTCTGGCGTGCCCCCTGGGCGTTCCGGCACGGCGGGGCGGCCGGCGCTGCAGGAAGGGCGAAGGGCGCGGATTCGCTTCCTGAAGAGTGTGTCCTTCGTTCCCCGCGCTGGTCGTCAGCGTTTTTGTGGAATCGCTTGTTGCTGGTGTGTCCTGGCCGTATTTGTGACACGTTTTGCCCTCCAGTGATCTTGGAAGCCGGAAGGACCAGTTCTTGTGTGGCATGCCGGGGCTGTCTCCGCTGCGGTTCGGGCCCCTCGTCGCCTCTCCGGGACAGTGGAGGTCAGGGCCGGGCTTCCGGCTCTAAAGAAAGCACCTTAATGTGTAAGCTTAAAGTTTGGGCCACAGGCAGCAGTGGCTTACGGCGCTATCGCTTATTGCAAACACTCTTGTTTCTGGGCCATCGATATCTGTTTTCTGTCTGCTGATGGAATCAGACTTGAGCCTAGTGTCCTCAGGGACTTGAGGAAGAGGCAGATCGCCGCCTTCGCGGTGTATTCACATAACCTTGTTGTACCCTGTGTTCCGTGGTTTTCCTAGGGCCACATGTGACTTTGTGGAGACACACTTCTGAGAAAGGCGCTTAGTACTAAACAGTGTTTTTTTTTTTTTTTAATGGACATTCATTGCATACCGTGTTAGCACGAGGGTACAGCAGTGACCAAGCTGGCCCCTGTCCCAGTCCTCCGGGAGACAAGTTCACTGGGGAGCTTGAGAGGTTATTCCAACGCCTTCCTTTAAATCAGCTGTTGCCAACCCATTTACCCTGGAGCGCAGAGCTCTTCAGTGGCACTTTGGGTTGATGTTTGTATATGTATGTGTGTCTATTTTACTATTTACCCATTTTAAGCACAGCATAGACATATCAGAAATGTAACCCCGGAAGACAGCCCTGTTGTGAAACTCCCTGCCTAATGCACACTTGTTTTCCTACTTGCTGTGTACATGGGGAGGAGATATTTGTTCTTGTAGACTTGTTTCAACAAGTTTCATGAGTGAGATGCCTCTTACCTTGTTTTGGAAAAGCGAGTATCTTGAGTTTCTTCAGGTTTTCCACCAAAGGCTGTCCTTTATTAGTATTTGATTGAATTCAGAATATGTCAAACAGCGAGTTGTGCTGTGATGAGAAGACAGGGCACAAAAGATAATTTGTGATTGACTGCCCAGCTGGTACCCATGGTTACCAGACAGCCTAGCCATGCTGCATGTATATGTGTGAGCATCACAATGACTTGTTCAGGACGTGTGTGTCATCAGGTGGGGCCTTAAAGGGTGGTGAGTTTCCTTCATATAAGGGAGGGAGTGACTGGAATGGGCATTGGCTCCCGTTTTGTTTCACGGTGGTTTTCAGGTTCTCCTGTTGATACTGTGAGTTTTTCTACAGCCTTAGGGTCATAATCCCCTTGAGGTCAGTTCTGTGGAGCCCAATGGAGTGCTGCTCTTCAGCGTTTATTTTTAAGCTGTGCCAAGTCTTCATTGTTTGGTATCTCCGTAAACAGGTTACATTTTTCTTTTTTTGTATGCCTGTCCCATGATGCCAGGTGCCTTCTTTTTGGCCCTTGAAGAGCAAAGATTGAATGTGTTTAACAGGCGACTCCTTGCTACCCGTGGGCCCCTGCAGTGTGTCTGATCTCTCTCGGGCGGGTGGGCTCAGAAGACAACCAGGAAGTTTCCTCTAAACAGTTTCCCACTCACGTTTCTTATTTAAGTGATGGGGCCTTTACAGTGGATATCTGAGCTCTGCCGCTTTATCGCTAGTGTCAAATGACGTAAGTTAATTGCATTACAAAGGTTATGTGATTAACAGTTAACGGAAACATTCGGGAAGAGGAGGTCAAAGAACAAAGTCCGAATTGCTCATGTCATGTAAGTGTACACACTATTCTGTGAGACAGTCTGTGCTGCCTAGGCCTCATTTTTTTTTGAGTAGTAATTTTGAGGGTAAGTTGTTATATGAAGTTGAGCTGGTAATTGTGCATATTTTAAAAAGAGTTCTGTAACCATGACCATAAAACTTAATAGGTGGTACTTGATCGTATGTAACTTGTAAAGCAGGCATTTCTCTTCTTGGGTGTCAAACTTAGATGGCGTGGTTTTGTTTTACATGTGCCAATGGAGACGTTTGCATGATATTTAACATACTTTTTGTTGTTTTATTTTTGTTTTATTGAAAGTTTGGATGGGTTAATATACCTTAATAATAAGGTAAACCAACTTTTTTTTCCAAAATGAAGATACTTTAATGTGTTTGATACAAAGATAATACACATACAGAAAAGTTAAACATTATGTAAAAATAGGAAGTAAAAACACCAGAAAGGACACTGTCCAGAAAAGCCCCGCAGTACAGCTGTTTGCAGTAGAGAATGGGGTGTGTTGGAGGCTGTGGCCGCTGCCCTGGCTCTTCACTCAGGCGTCACAGAGCTTTTCCCATGGTTGTGCATGTGGTGATTCATTGCCCCTCAATTTTGGCCGTAAAGAACTCCCAGCCTGACACAGTGGCTCACGCCTGTAATCCCAGCACTTTGAGAGATCGAGGTTGGTGGATTACTTGAGATCAGGAGTTTGAGACCAGCCTGGCCAACAGGATGAAACCGCACCTGTAACCAAAAATACAAAAATTAGCTGAGTGTGGTGGCACCTACCTGTAGTCCCAACTGCTTGGGAGGCTGAGGCGGGAGAATCACTTGACCCACGGAGGTGGAGGTTGCAGTGAGATCGGGCCACTGCCTCTAGCCTAGGCGACAGTGAGACCCTGTCTCAAAAAAAAAAAAGAATTCCCTTAGGCCAGGCATGCCAGTGCACCCCTGTAGTTCTAGCAGTTTGGGAGGTGAGGCCAGAGGCCACAGAGAGGATCCCTTGAAGCCAGGAGTTCCAGGCTGTAGTGAGCTGTGATTGTGCTACTACTCTCTAGCCTCGGTGACAGAGCAAGACTCTGTCCCCACCCTCCCAAAAATGAGTTTCCCTATGTAGTTGCTTCTTGATTTTTCAGACTAGTCTGTTAGTTTGTGTTCAGTTTGTCAACTTTGTGAGGAAAAAAAAAAAAACACTCATAAATTTGTGTGTACTTCTAGTTAACTTCATCTGGGTCACAGTGAAGCACTCTCTGCCCTCCTTGAGAACAGTATGTCACCTGCTCTCTTCCCTGTTGCCAAGCCCAAAAGGCGCCGTTAGCAAATATGTCGGAGAAATAGACTCACCTACAAGGGCCTTTTTCTCCAAACCCTCACCAGCACAGGCTGCGTCACTTTGCTGGATGGCGCCTGCCGTCTGTTGCACACTTGCCAGGCGCTGTGCTGATTTGGCACTTGACATGATGTCGCTTCAGAAAACCTTGTAGGAAGTTGTAAGGTCGTTACTGCCCCCGTTTCACAGACACGAAAGTGCATCCCTTAGACAGATGCACTGCCTGCTACACTGTGGCCCCCACCTGCTGTTGATGTTTTCAGCTGTGTTCATAGACAGGTTCTCCCTTGAGCCCCCTAAGTCCCCATCTGCTTAACTGAGGGCTTGTCTGGGTGCAGCTGTCAGGGCTGGGAGTCCTGAACCTGCACCGAGGGGAGTGGGCCGTGGAGATGCCAGGTAGATACTGGCCTGGCCTCTTGGGATTTGCTAGGCTGTAACTAAAAGATAATGCTTTTGCTTTCACAACATGTTTGAGTAGTCAGATCCCTTTCTGTTCACTTCTCCCCACCCATGCAGCAGTGATGGGGTCCTGGGAAGTTTCTTCTCATACATGTTTGACTCTCAAATCCAGCTGTGCGTGTAAAAACGAATACAGAGAACCCTTTTATGTCAGAACTCCTTTGTCTTCAGCTTACCCCCGAAAACAGAACTAGACTTTGGCCTCTCAGTCCCAGGGGAAGAAAGGAAGATTGCAGCTGAAATACAAAGTTAACTCTTGACGTGAGTTTACAAGGTCCCCAAGCAGTAATTTTGTCCCTTGGGCTGTGACTTTTATAAGTTGGAATTCCAGGCTGGGTGTGGGGGCTGATGCCTGTGTAATCCTAGCCCTTTGGGAGGCTGAGGCGTGGTTGATAACTGGAGCCCAGGAGCTGGAGACCAAACCAGGCAACATGGCAAAATGCTGTTTTTGCAACCAAAAAAAATTAGCCGGGCGTGGTAGTGCGTGCCTATAATCCCAGCTACTCAGGAGGCTGGAGTAGGGGGACAGCCTGAGCCCAGGGAGATGGAGGCTGCTGTAAGCCATGATCAGTTGCTCCACTGAACTCACGCCTGGGCGACAGAGAGAGACCCTGTCTCAAAAAAAAAATTAGCTGCAGCTCCAAGTTGAGAAGCAAATTTTTGGGAGGGAAGGGTTTTTAAAGAACCACCACCATTTTCTCCACCTGAACGTAGGTGGCAGTCACTGCCGTGTCTGTAATCACATGAAACTGAATGAGAATAGACAGGGGGTGTCTGGAAAGACAGGATGCTGAAGCAGTACATGTCACTGCCTGTATGGTCCTGGATGAACCAGAATGGCCTTGGAGTTGTTCTTGCCAGGCAACTCCCTAAGGGGAGCATGTAATCCCAGCACTTTGGGAGGCTAAGGTGGGAGGATCACCTGAGGTCAGGAGTTCAAGACCATCCTGACCAACATAGAGAAACCCTGTCTGTATTAAAAACAAAAATTAGCTGGGTGTCACCACGCCTGTAATCCCAGCACTGGAGAGGCTGAAGCAGGAGAATCCCTTGAACCCAGGAGGCGCAGGTTGCAGTGAGCAGAGACAGCGCCACTCCCCTCTAGCCTGGGGGACAGTGCAGCTCCATCTCAAAAAAAAAAAAAAAAAAAAAGATTGTAAACCATTATATATTAACATAAATAACATTCTGTGGAACCTGCTCTCAAAGACCAAAACAATCTAATG